GTGGGGGTGGGGGGCTCCGCTGGGCCTCTGCTGGCCAGCCTCATGTCCCTTGCCTACCGGGCTTGAGGGAGACCTCCTGATGGTCTCTTCAGGGTGCGGACTTCGGCTTGGGGGTGATCGAAACAGTTTTTGCACAGCTCCGCTTCCAAAGAAAACATAAACTGGTACCGTAATCAAAGAAGGAGGACCCTGGAGATGTTGGAGGGGGGATGGGCTTGCGCCTTCACCCACACTCCCCTTTATCCCTCCTCCCCATTGCCACTGCTATTTGGAAGAGGAGGGGGGCCGGGCCGAGGCGACACCCTCTCCTCCTGCCAGTCATCCCCTTTGCTCCTGACGAGCAGCGCCCTGGGCCCATTGTTCCTTCTCCTCCCCCTCGGGCCCAGGGTGGGGGGCAGAGGAGGTGGGAACACGGTGGCCCCCAACTCTCAGTCTTCTCTTTCCTTCTCCTACCACTGCTGCCCCCTTGCAGACATCCCCCACGGCTGGGCCCTCTTCCCTCTCCCACCTGTGTGTGATGTGGCAGAAGAGGCCAAGCCAGCCCAGGTGGGCATGGAGCTGCCCCTGAGCAGAAGCCGGGGGAGGGCAGGACGGGTCCCTCTTTGTGCTCAGTAGTCTGACTTCCCTGCTGGAGGTTTGGAGAAGTTTCAGGTCTGGACTGGTGGTGGCCAAACACACCCAGTGCATTAAGTGGCTTCCCAAGCCTCCTGCAGCCATGTTGTCTTCAGGTGTCCTTTGTGCTGGGGCGAGGGGATACAGAGATGAGCGCAGGCTCCACGTGGGCACCAAGGAGGCAGAGAGCCGACGCCTGAAGGCTTCAAGGACGGTGCATCTCTGTGCTGGTTCCTGGAGGATGGGCAGGGCGTCTCGCCCAGGAAGGCTGTGCTGGGTAGAGGGCACCGAAGGTGCAAAAGCCCAAAGGTCACAGAGGTCAGGGCATGTCCTGGGTTTGGGGGTTGTTGGAGAGGGAGATGATTCTGGGCGGGAGGGTGGCCCAAATGTGACAGGGCCTTGTCTGTCAAGCTATGGAGTTGGGATTAGGGAGCCTTGGAAGGTTTGGGAGCAAGGGAGGGAGCTCAGAAAGGGACCTGAAGCATGATGCTGAGTGGCCAAGAGAGGAGGCAGAGAGAGCAGCGTGGAGGCCACCAGCCTGGGGGGCTCAGCGGGAGTGAAGGATAAGCGCCCATGGGAGGGGCCGTGCAGAGGGGGGCCCTCCTGAGCCTTGGTAAGGACATGGGTCTTTATTTTAAGGGCCTTTGGGAGCCACTTAAGAGCTTTAAGCAGAATTTTATTTTACAATAGCCCATTGGGAGAATTGGAATTCGGAGAAGGGCGGGCAGCAAGGAAGGACTTGGAAAGACCAATTGGGGGTCACGGGTGGGATGGCTGGGCTGAGTGAGGGCCACTAGGGTGGGAGCAGTGGAGCTGAGAAATGGGGAGGGGAGGGACTAAGGGGAGAGAGATTCAAGGATGGCTCTTGGTTTTCTGGCTTGAGCATGGAGGGGATGGAGGTGGTATTTATGAAGGAGGGAGACAGGACAAGGAGGGGGGTTCAAGAGGCGATGACAAGTTTGATCAGGCAAGGATATGTAGGTCAGAACTCGGAGGAGAGTCTGGAGCAGGACTGTCCCTGGCATGTGGGACAAGATGGCAAAGGGACAGAGGGAGAAGAGAGGTTTAGGTGGCTAGGAGGACAGGAGCGGCCAGAGGAGGTGAGAGGCCAGCGGTGTGGACAGTGGTTCCGGATCCACGGGGTTCAAGATGGACAGAGTGCTCAGCCGGCCCTTGAGAGATTGGGTGAATGAGGACAGGTTGGCCTTTGGATGCAGAAATGTGGGCGCATGCACGGGTGGGAGTGGTTTGGGGAAGTCTCCAGACTGGTGTAGGCTTGAGGGGACGAGAGAAGAGGGAGGCAGGGCATCTGCTCACCTCACTCTGGAACCACCTCCATGACATAACGGAAGTGGCCAGAAGGAGCCTGGGGAGCATGCTGGCTAAATGCAGCATCGATTCCTGGATTGGATCCTGGAATGGAAAAAGGGCATCAGTGGGAAAACTGGTGAAATGCGAATCAAGCCCGGAGTCTCGTCAGTAGTGCTGAGCCCAGGCTAATTCATTAGTCATGGTCGCTGTGCGCTGTGCGGTGACTGCAGGATGTTAACACTAGGGGAGGCCAGGGCCAGGGTCCCTGGGGATGCCGTGCTGTCTTCAAAACTCTTCTCTACATCTCAAATTCTTACAAAATGAAAAGCCAAAAAAGAAAGAGGCCAAAGCGGGTGAGGAAACAGCATGGAAAGTATGACCCCGACTTTGTCACCTCGATGTAGCCGTACGTGCCATGTGTGCACACACGTGTCATATGTGCACACACGTGTCATGTGTACGGATGGGCCAACGAAGCTCTGGAAGGGTGCACGTGGAGGCTTTGGGATTCAGGTGGGAGCTGCTTTCTAACTTACAGCTTTAGGTATCGTCTGATTTTTGTTTTACAAAGAGTGAAAATAGTCATAACACATAACGTTTATTACTAGAAAAAAGGGCTTTTTTAATCTTTAAATTTTAGAAAAATAGAATGCTCCCCTGGTCCCTTCTCTACCTGCTCTGGTCTCCCTGGCGAGTCAGTGAGTTGTTCTCCAAAAGACAGAGCTTTGGGGATTGTAGGTGGAGCTCTGGGGGTGGAGTGAAGAGAAGCCTCGACTCCCGCCGCCCACCCGGCCGATCACACCACCCCTGGCACCCTTTCCAGAGCCAGAACCGGGGCAGGCGCATGCCCTGGCTACTCAATGTTCGGTCTTTATTTGGAGACTGGGAGACAGATCACAGCCTAATGAGGGGAACAGACTCAAGTGATCCAATGGGAAGGGGTGTTTTCTGTCCCTTGGAGAGCTGCAGTGTCTGGACAGGGTATCATCATTAAGGGCAATTAGACACTCTGGAGGTCTTTCCAGCTCTGGCTCCAGGGGCCTCGAGTGCGTGTGGGCCTGGGGGTCTGTGTCTCATTGTCTCGTGTCCCCCTCTGGCCATAGGCATTTCTGGAAAGAGCCAGATCCTTTTCGCTCTCGTCTTCACCACCAGGTACCTCGACCTGTTCACCAACTTCATCTCCATCTACAACACAGTCATGAAGGTGAGGGGGATGGGTGGCCGTGGTGGGGGAGGCCTGCCAAGGACCACCACACGGTGAGACAGTACGCTTGGGAACTCAGGCTATGGAGCCAGGCAGACCTCCTGTGAGCCCTGGCTTTGCAGCTTAGCAGTTGTGGGACCTGGGCTGGGGCAAGGCCTTGGGACTCTGTGTGCCTGTTTCCTCCTCTGCAAAATGAAGATACTAGTTTTTGTTGTAAAAATTTAAATGAGGTCATAAAGGTAAATATACATGTATTTTTACTGTCATATATTAAACATTTAATAAAGATTAGCTGTTATAATGGTTAAAAAAATAAGCAAAAAATCAAACATGGTTTTCTGAGCTTCCAAAGAACTTATTCAACCATCCATCCGACAAATATTTATTGAACACCTACTGAGAGCCAGGTCGCTGAAGAAGACATGAGGCTCCTGTTCTCATGGACCCACATTCTAATGGACGGGGGGTGGGGGGACCAATAATAAAACAATCAAGAAAAACTGGCTAGGGTTAGGGATAGGCTATGCAAATCATCGAAATAGGGTGATTTGCCCAGCATTTGTTTTGTTCTGGGCCTGTGTTAGGGGCTGGGGATACAGATTCGATTAAATTAAAAAATATATATATATATAGTCTGTAATAGAGAACGAGTAGGGATCTAGCTATTCAGGGAGTGTGATCAAGAAGGGCCTCTCTGTAGAGGTGACATGTAAGCCAAGACCTGAGTGACACAAGGAACCAACCGGCCATGTGAGGAGCAGTGGGAGAACGTTCTAAGCAGAAGGAATAGTTGTTGCAAAGACCCCCCAAGACAGGAAAGACAGCGCAGGGGGAGCTCGGCAGGCAAGGGATGCCACTGGTGGTAGAGATGCTGACAGAGGCCGGGTGAGGGTCAGATGGTCAGGTTAACAGTCTGAAGTGAATTTTGTGACGGGAAGCTGTTGCTTTGAAGCATGGCCGTTTTACAGAAGGAGAAACCGAGCCTCTCCCAGTTCTGCTCTCATGTCCCAGCCCCTGGTCAGTGATTGTTGGGTTATGTTGAAGTGAGGCATTTTCTGAGCTTTTAGCCAACCATCCTAGCTCTTTAAGGCAACATAGTTTGGTGGAAAGAGCCCAGGCTTCAGAGTCAATAAAAGTGGGATGTAACTGCTTGGATACTGATAACAGAAACTTAAGCATTTTGAGTTATTTTGATAAGGATTTATTTTTTCTTTACTCATAACACAAAATTTTGGTGTGGGCAGTCCAAGTCTGGGCTGGAAGCTCCTTTTAACTTTCTACTCTGCCGTCTTGAATATGACCAGGACTCATGGGTGCATGACCTGTGCAGTTGTTCAGAAGGGCTCCATGCTCGATTTAATGCTCTGCTCTTGGCATCTTGAAATTCCTAATTTTTGAATAAGAGGCCCTGTAGATTATATAGGCTAGTCCTGAATGTGATATCTAGCTTCAAGGTTGCCTCAGGGTCGCAGAATGGGTGCTAGAGCTCCTATCATCACATCATATTGTGGGCAGGAAGGACAGGGAAAGGGAGAAAGCAATAGGGTGCCTGCCAACTGAGTATGCCCTTTTTAAAGAGTTTTCTCCACACTCTACCCAGTAACTTCCATCTTCATGTCACTGACCATCCTTATCTGCAAAGGAGGCTGGGAAAAGTTTTTAGTGGGTTCAATGTCTAACAGGAATCCTTTTTTTAAGGAAGAAAGGCTACATGGGGGTGAGAATCCTGCCTTTCTTGCAGGGCTATTATGAAGATGACATAAGATAATATATGTGAAGTACCCAATACCCAGAAGATAGTTAACCAAAGCAATTTCTCTTTCTCCTCTCGATATCAGAGATGTCCCTCTGGGATTCCAGACATCTTGTTTCTAGGATTAGTGGAAGGGAGGCTGCTATTACCTGTTGGTGTTGAACTCAGTGTGAACTTCAATCTGAGATCCTGAAATAATGATTCTACTTAAATTCAACACGCAAGTAACAAACACCACCTGCTTAGCTCATTCTCTGCCCGAGTCTGGCTTGGGCAGCCCTGGCAGGAACTGATGAGGTCCAGGAAGCGCAAAGAGGTCAGTTTCCACATTTCTATGAGACGAAGTGATCTCCACTTCATTGACTCATTCCAGCATTTGTGCTGGCCCTAGGGATTCGGACGTGGACAGGACACAGACCCTGTTATAGGAATCGCCTCTCACAGGGGAGACAGACTGTCACATTTACAGAATGTGATCATGGCAGCAGTGAATATTTTTACACAGGGCCGTGGTGACACAGTATGTGTGGCTCATTCTGGTGAGAAAAAGACTTCGAGGAAATAACTTAGTCTGAGTTTTTAAATACAAATAGTTCTTTAGGCTAGTGTAGTCCCAGATCGGCAGCATCAGCATCACATAGGAACTTGCTAGAAATTCAAATCCTCAGGCCCACTCATACCTACCAGATCAAAAACTGTGGGGTAGGGAAGGGGCCGCCATCTATGTGAGTTTGATGCGCATTCAAATATGAGAACCTCTGGCCTAAGAGGTTTGAGATATCAGATCTTAAAATCATTTTATGCTGGGGTCATTAGAAAAAGAGCTTTTCTAAGGAGTAATGATCAAAGGATTCAAGGGAGGATAGTCCTTGTGGAAGGATGCTCACGCCATTGATACAGATCCGGAAGTTGAGGTTTTAAAAGTGCCCTGGAATGCCACTGCTAAATCCTCCAACGAAGACCAATCCTGGCTTTTTTTGCCTAACACTTTACAGTGAGGAGACACCTGGGTACCTTGGTCTTCATGGAAGCATTGTCAGTCCCGATTAGAAGCACAGAGCTACTAGCAAAGGGTCATTAGCTTCAGGTTCTAGGCCACTGGATCTAAGAGAAATTTCACATTTTGCCTCCTCCCTTAAAGCAGAGCACTAGCCCTTAGGTTTGGTAGGTGCCTATACAGAGGGGCTTTGAAGCCAAGCAAATAGGCAGGGAAATGACTTCAATTGTCACGTTTCTCTCCCTTTTTAGGTGATTTTTCTCCTCTGTGCCTATGTCACAGTGTACATGATCTATGGGAAATTTCGGAAAACATTTGACAGTGAGAATGACACGTTCCGCTTGGAGTTTCTTTTGGTCCCAGTCATTGGCCTCTCCTTCCTAGAAAACTATAACTTCACTCCCCTGGAGGTAAGGGACCCAGAGTACTAACTCTCAAAGGCAAACATGCTCCCTAACAGCCTGCCCTGCTAAGGTCTGGGCTTGCTTTCTTCTGCAGCTGTGACTATCACTCCTACTATTAGTTTAGAATAATTAGCAACTATCCATACTGTTCCACTTAAAAGTGAGGACATCTAAAGGTGATGTTCCTAACAAAGCAGGCATCTCAGCAGCACTTAAGGCTGTTGAGACCAGGCTGAGATCTCAACTCAGTAGGTCTGGGCAACAAGCATCTGGGGAAGATTCTGATGCTGATGTTTATGGACTGTATTTTGAGAAACCATAGCCTCAAGGTGAGTTTATTACAATAAAATTCTGCAACAATTCAAAATTATGTGCTATAGAAATGTTCATACTATGTTGTGGAAAAAGCAATAGGCTTGAATCTTTAAAAAACTGTTTTACAGAGAAAAGGGGTGGAATAACATATTAAAATGCTAAAAATTATAAGAACATGATTTACTTTCTTGTATTCTCTCCAGTAAACATATTTTAGTAATTCTTTTAAAGAGCTGAGCCCTTTCTTGATCAGCCTCCTCTGGCCACTTCTCTTTGGCTCAGATCCTCTGGACTTTCTCCATCTACCTGGAATCGGTGGCCATCTTGCCCCAGCTCTTCATGATCAGCAAGACGGGAGAGGCCGAGACCATCACTACTCATTACCTGTTTTTTCTGGGGCTGTACCGGGCACTCTACCTGGCTAACTGGATCAGGCGGTACCAGACTGAGAATTTCTATGATCAAATTGCAGTGGTGTCTGGAGTGGTACAAACCATCTTCTACTGTGACTTCTTCTACTTGTATGTGACCAAAGGTAAGTGCTGAGAACAGTGTTGCTGGCACTGGCCCAAAGAGATGCTCACCCACTCAACATTTGAGGGGATATGGAAGTGAGGGAGGCAAGTCTCGGCCCCTCATTGTGCTTATTCTAATGGGAGATGACAAATATTTTTAGGAAACAGTGCCATGGAAAAAACAGACCAAATAGGATACTGTATGTGCAGTGTAAAAACACTACAGGGAAGACAGCTATGAGGTAATATAATAAGAAAAATATAGAAAACCATTTGAGAACAGCTCATGTACTGGCCTCAAGGCAAGAACTAGATTAGTGGAATAAGACAAAAAGGCGAGTGTGTTCAAAATACACGAACCTGGAGATACAGGTCAAGCAAGGTCCGACAAATAGGGCCTCACAGGCCAAGGGTAAGGGGTTTGCATTTTGATCGCAAAGATCTATTGGAGAAACTGTTTTGAAAACCAATCCACCAGCTGCTATTTAGGATAAAAAGCGGCTAAGGCCAGAAATTAGTTATGGGGCAGTTGTCCAGAAAGATCACCAGTGTGAAAGGACGTGGACAAATCTCTTGGGAGTAGAGTTGAGGAACTGCCAAAGGCCTAAGGGGTGGTGATGGAATCAATCACCGAGACAGGGATCAGGGTCTGTAGTCAACCTGTGTTGACATTTCCCCCTTGGCTTTAACATCGGAATGCCTATGTGAACACGGATTAGATGGTAAACTTATTAAGTTATAAAGGAGTTCCTTCATCAATGCGGTGAATTCTAATTTCATCTTTCCTTCTAGTCCTTAAAGGGAAGAAGTTAAGTCTTCCAATGCCAATTTGAAGGCCCTCAGAGACGTTCTGCAGCTCAAGGACAGACACAAAGCAAGCTATGTGAAATGTCCTACTGGGTGACTTATACATGACTCAGACCCAATGTTAAAATTAATGCCAGAAAAATGCTTAGTGTGGATTTCAGCAAAGCACTGACCATTCTATCTAGAAGACCTCATCAATCTCTCTTATAGAGGTAATGAAAAAGGGGCAACTTTCTTGTTGCTTTGTGACTCAAATTTTTGCATTAAGACCAATCCCACCTCCCTTTCACATTTTTAGGTGCTAAGATGATTTCCAACATCCCCAACCCTGGTCTTGAAGCAAATAAAAATTATAAGAGGACTACCATTGGACCATAGTCAGAATTTGTAGCAATAAAAAGCTCACAGTTTATTGTCAAGTGTTTTATTTATACCTACAAAAGAAAACAAGATGGTATCAAAAGGACAATTTACATACTAAGAATAGCAACATAGCTTTTAGCATCCTGTGCCTGAACATCACACACCTACAAATCTTTCAAGTCTTAACGCAACAGGAATGTGTTCAGAGACCAGCAAGGACATGAATAGAGAGCACTGATCCCAAGCAAAAGCCACCAACCTTTTAGATGAGAGAAGTCCACACATGAACTGTTAGGGATTGGGGAGAAGCACCCCATAGCTCAATACTGAAATCTTTTCTTTAAATGAGTCTCAACCATGATGGCAATACCTAGCCTCAAATGAGATCTCTTCTGCTCATGTTCTGAAGCAAAGGCAGAACCTGAATTGAGTGACAAACAGGGAGGCAGAAGAGTTAGAGCTGTAGGAAAAACTCTGCTAGATTCTAGCTGTGTTCAGTCCACAGCAGCCTGAGATTTGGAATATGCTGTTATTTTGACTGATTACAACACCATACCCCTGGTGGAAAAAAGAAGCAAGCAGCAGACCAAAACAAAACAAAACAAAAACAACGCTTGCTTGCCCAGAGACTTTTCCCCACAAAAAGGATGCCTGTAAGACCTGCAAGAGCAGGACACCCCCTCTGGTGGCACCTGTTAAAAAAACAAAAAAAAAACAAAAAATTTTGGTGTAGCGCCGTCTACAATGGACAGGTTAGTGCTTAGACAATTTCAGGGGGAAGGGGCGGCGGACACTTTGGTTTGAAAGCACAGATCAATTTTGCCACGTCTTTCCTGTGCCTGCTACCCTCCCTCGGCCTAAACTTCTATGGGGGGGCGGAGGGGGGAGGATAAAAAAAAGTTAAGGAAGAAAGTGGGGCGGGGGGAAGGTGTCAAAGTTCTTACATGCATATATTTCAGCTTATGCTGACAACCTACCTGTGTTGCATATTCAACCAACTTTCAGAATCCCTCAGAAACAATCCCTTCTCTCTCCCTGAAGAATTTAAAAAGGAAAACAAAAACCTCAAGTATTTAGATATCTGTATCTTACAAACCAGTAAGCACTCTCGGGCCTTAGCCAAAGAATGCAGTGGAGCCTTCTTTCCTCCTTTCAGTACATTGTGAGTAAGTAATACCGATGACAGCACTAGAGAGTCTCATGCTAGATATGGAAGAGGTTTCTGGGGCTGTCTGATCTTCCTGTCCTGTTACAGTAAACACAAGAGAAGATTCTTTCCAGGCCTATCTGTTCCAAGAAGCCTTGGTAAAACAGTTATCACTACAAAGGGGATGGACTCACCTACCTTTAGATGGAGGAAAAATAAAAGGACTTAGATCTTAGTCCTCTGTATAACTTTTCTTAAGCACTACCTGCAAAACTGAGTGCAAATGGACGCTGAGGGAAATTTGCATCCAAAAGCTGTTACAAAGCACTGCAGAGAACACAGTATGAATAAACCTCTCTCAATAAACCCTTGAAATTCTTTATTCAAGGTAACTTGGCTAAAAGGGATGAGGAGCTTGCGAAGAGCTGCTTTTATTCTAGCTCTACTAAGTTTAAAAAAAAAATCTGCCCATTGAGTATACGGTTTAGAATTAAAGGTGGTTTTTACACTGCAGGTGAAATACATACTTAACTGGTTAATAACATTTCCAGTGAGCATTTATATTTATACTCATTCTGCCCACAGCAGCTGTCTGGCTGGAAAATGAATTTCACAGATGGTCCCTGTTTATATGGGGGGGCGGGCCGGGGGGGAAGGCAGCTTCCAACCAGATGCTGACATGCTACGTTAACCATTTCAATAAACACTTGGGTTTTTAATTTAAAAGATACACTTAAACTTGGACTCGGCCATTCAATTTCTAACCTGACACTAAAATGGTTAATTTTCAGTAATTGGGAAGGGGGAAGGCAGAGTGTAAAGGAGACAAAACCAATTAGGAATTTTTTAAAACTGTTGAATGCACTTAACAAGCAATCAACCAAAATGACAATGCCAAAGCACTGTCTCAAAAACTCATCAAGTCTGAGGAACCCTGTTCCAGCTTGAGAAACATTAAAAAGCATTATGGAAAATGTACTGGGAGCTCCCTCCGGTTCTCTAACTCGGCAATGAGAGCAGTTTAAAGCACAGATGCCATCTTCTTCTGCAGATTTAACCCTCTACCCTCCCCCACCCACCCCCAACTCAGGACAACAAAAAAGGGTTCCCACAAAAGGGCCTAATACCTTGCTTTTTCTTTTAAGATGAAAAATAGCTCAAACATCCTCCACATGCAATAAGTTGGGGGCAGGGAGGGGGGAATCTCTTCCAGTCAGCCATATATATCTTTACAAAATCTGTTATTACTGACTGGGATCAATTTGGCGGGCAGAAGAAACCTGGCAGTGAATTCTAACTATCTCCAAGAAACACAAACCACAATGGCTAGGGGAGAAAAATAAAAAAAGAAAGAAAACAGAAAGAAAAAAAAAGGGAAAGACAGCGTTCCTTTAAATGTAATGTCTGCACAAGTCACTACCACTTGAGTGGTTTCATTTACGTGAAGGAGGAGGGGGAGGAGGGGGAGGGGGGTATTGGTAGGCAGTCTGCCCCATGTAACCTATCATATTGGTAGCTCCCGGAGGCTGTGCAAACTGTTGTGACATCAGTGGCTGTGGTTGCTGCCCAGATCGGCCTATCCCACTAAACTGCTGGCTAGAGCTCTGTGAACTTCTCCCAGTTGAGGTGGTGCTACTAGCCCCATAAGTGCCAGCGCCATATTCTTGGGCTGTATAGCCACTGGTGCCATAAGCAGCTGCCCCATAGGTGCCTTGACCATAGGTGTATTGGCCAGCTTGTGCTCCAAAGGCAGAATTTGGACTTCCATAGCCACTGCCATTAGCATAACCAGCTCTATCGGTTTCACTACGATCCCGATAGCTTGCAGAGTCTCTCCGGCCGCCATCCTTGACTCCTCGAAGCCTCCGGTCACACTCATCCTGATACATGAGATTGGGATTGTTGGCTGAAGAAGTGGTCCGGTATCGAGAACGACCTCCTGATGGGAGGATACAAGAAATTTTTAATGCCAGACATACAATCCAAACATATACTACTAGGTGACAAAAGCGTTCAACATTCTTCCTCGATCTTTAGCTACGCCAGCTTCCAAATCATAATTTGAATCTTTAATGGGACATATTCAAAAAGAATGATAAACATTAAGAATATTCAACTTCTCTCCCATTTAGGACTTGTGTTTACTTGAGGATTACCAAGATACTAAATTTTAAAAATGCAGAAATAATGGTAAAGAGGTTTAATTAGGTGACCTACCATAGGTTTAAAAAAAAAATACAAACAGCTAAGCTCAAACCACATAAAGAGAACCTCTACTACTACAGTCGTTCTCAAATGTTACTTTGTGGACCTAATTAACTGCATCAGAATCATCTCACAAGTTTTAGGAAAGTAGTTCAAATTCCTAGCTCAATTCTAAACCTACTCAAGAAAAAACAAAAACCTGCATTTTAAAACCTCTCAGGTAATTGTGATATAGAACTTAAACATGCAATAAGTTGGGAAGAAAAATAATACCAAACTGGTAGTCAAGGAGGCCTAAATCCTAGAATATTCTTCAACTAATTTTCAGATCCAATAGTTATACCCGTTCTACCATAAAACAGTGTAAAATTAGGTACTGAAAGCAACCATAATTCAGCTTAATTTGGAACATACACCATGTATTTCAAAATACAAAGGGTCAGTTTTATATAATCTACAGAAATGCGCTACAAAAGGATAATCATGACAGGCCTCCAATTTCACCGTCTTATTCAGAACATACTCTGAAAACTACTAAACAGTCTTTTGTTATTATTTAAGCAACATACTTAAAGCCTTCACAGAATTAAAAAAAAAAAAAAAAAAAAAGGCACAATGAACACAAAGTGATACCTTGGTAGTACCTGGAAAACTCCAGGACTTACCCTTACCCCCTCCTCCGCCGCCTCCTCTGTGGTCCACCAGCTGCATCAGTTTTGGATTAATAGCCTGATTAGCTTCTTCCAGCACTTTGATCAACTCTCTGGCTTGCTTTAGGTTTCCCGGGGTGAAGAAGGTGTAGGCAGTGCCCTTATTGGTACTACGGGCCGTTCGGCCAATGCGGTGCACATAATCTTCTGAGCTGTTTGGATAGTCATAGTTGATCACAAACTTGACATCTTCCACATCTTCAAAGCCAAAGATGGTTTGTTGTGTAGGTTG